GGGGGGGGGAAATGCTCCCCCAGCTTGTATGTTAAAAAAGGCCCTGCCAGCCACTTCACAATTCTACTAATGAGAGATGGCCCTTCCTGAATCTTTAGGGCAAACTGTTTAGATCGAAGTTATCAGTGGGCTCTATATATATTCCATTCAAAGAATAATATTATGTTCTTATGAACTGATAACTTTATTAGCGATAAGATCCGATCAGGCTAAAAACTGAAATTAGCTGTGGAAAATGGTACAAAAATGATTTACAACCTTTTGGACGTCAATTTCTGCCATTTTGGCTTCACTCTTTTCACAGGCCGAATAACTCAAGTTCTTAATACTCAGATATAGCTCATTGGGTGTGATAGAGCTATCCATGCAGTATTAAAGGTATTTTAATAATATGCGATACTAGAATTAACGTGCGTTTAGCCATAGTACGAACAGACCTTTAACTGCTCGGTACACGCTGCTCTTCGGGTCCACATATTCGGCACAGATACACCCAGGCTGGTTACTCAGATCTAACAGTTCTCTTGGACGATATGGAGTGGAAGTCATTATACTGGGATGGTTCTGGAAAAATGTGTTGAATTGGTGCGCATTGCTCATTTTCTGCCAGTCAGACCTGTTTGTGCATAAAGTGTTGAATAATGTTGATAAAGATTATTTATTTCATGAAAAATACACACATAAAACGCTCATGCAGGTTATTACAGATATATGTAAGATCTATATAAGGTTGTAGTCAAGCTGATATCAAGACGTGTTCGTACTGCTTGTTCCCAGTTATTGAGACACGTCTGGAAGACTGGAACACTTAAGTAATTGTTAATCACTTTGTTTGATGACTGTAACAGGCTTACTCTAGGTTGTTCACATACAGATTGTTCGTAGCAAGTTGTTAATAAGTTAATGACAACAAACTTGTACCAACTTGTCGGAACAACTTGTAGCAAGTCTGCAGATACACTCATCAACCTTGTAACAAAATGATAACAACTTGTTCCAGACTTGTCACTACAGCTGGGAACAAGCAGGGCGAAGATATCCCGCGGTATTGTGTATCAAGAACCTTGTTACAACTTGTTTGCAGGGGACGGTTGTTCGAAAGCCGATCAGCCTAATTCCTGACAGCGTGTCTATAAATCTGGAAATGCTTCTTCAGAAATCTTGTCTGGATCGACATAGGAGTTTACTTCTCTGACGTTTTGAAATAAATAGACGTGCAGAAAAACACAAACCAAAACAGCATGGTTAAATTTAGTGTGGGTTTGCGCTAACCCACCTTTGAATAATCGGCCCCAGATCTGTAACAGCTTGCGCGTTTTTTTTATGTGTGTGCATGAAAGAGCCGGGCCAAATCGTGTAAGGGACTCAACTGCCAGTAAGAAAGATTAGTATACCCAAAGTTTAAAGGGATTAAAATACATAACAAGTCTGTAAAGAAAAAAAAATTAACTGAAAATTCCAAAATTTGGTCGAAATTAAAGCTTCACAAACACATACCAAATTTTATCAACAAATCCATGATGTAGGAAAAATTCAGGCGCCGAGGCAGCGTCTATGGTGCACATTGTCCCATCAATGATGCAATGAATGTCATCGTGAAAAGGCCCTCTCAGTGCTGCCTCAAATTGAAAAAAATTCGCAGGGGTGATAGTGAGAAGAATTGCAACTGCAACAGCATCGGGAGCTCGGCCTTTAAAGTTTCGAGTCAGGCAGCCCCCTCCGGCCGAAGCGACGAGTGAGAACTGCCCGGCTCGAAATGGGCCTGTATTGACACAGCCTCCAGGGGGTTTGCCGTTCCCACCAAAACCGCTGGCGCCTGTGTTCCAGAAATTGCTCGTGAAGGGACTAGCACCCACGAGACTCCAGTCCCAATATGGCACGGTCACCCGGCAATCAATTTTCCTCAAAAGGTTTTCATATTCTATTATAAACCAGCGATGCCATGGAAGGAAAAAATCTCTCCGGTGAATAGGAGTATTGAACTGAATTCTGTGCAAAGTTAGCAAGCTCTCGTAACTTGTTTTGAAAGGCAAGACGGATGAGGCGGTTTTGACTGTGTTTATGTATCGAACTCGTTCTTCAAAAGTCATATCGGTAAATTCTTTCCGTAGTCTGCAGCATTGAACAAGCCTGCCAGCCTGGCATTTGCAGCGTCGTCCGCACGCGTCGAAAACTGTCTGGCCATTGCGACATTTCCCTGATAAATCTGAAACATAAGTTAGTTTTAGTCAATTAATCAACTCGTATACGACCATAGGTAGACCAGAAATGCATGTTCTTTTCTCTCTTATCAAGTCACAGAAAGTTTGCACGTGAAAATCTTTCACGCTCGCGGGCGTGGCGCTTGCACGCAGGGGCGGCGGAGCCATGGGGGTAGCGGGGGCAACTGCCCCCGCTGCCCAAACAGTGCGGGGGCAGCACGGGGGCAACAGGTTGCCCTATTTTTAAGCAACGTTTAAGCAATCTTTGCATAAATTTTAACCAGTTGTAGTAAAATTAATGCTAAATCAGGCAATATACATCCGTACTCAATTTAAACCAGCCAATGGCTGTTTGGACGATCATATCAAACTTAGTGTTAATAAAAAGTCTACTCATATTTCGCGTGTCATATTTCCAACTTTTGCAATACAAATTTGCCGCAAAATTTGATGTTTTTTCGTATGCGCTTCTTGTCCTCTTACATTCGTGTTTAGGTAGCTCCAGTAATGGAAAGTATATGTTCTGGGGCATATTTTGAATGCACTTTCGTTCGAAAATAATTCTTATTTCGAAAGGCACTTTTTAAATATGCGCGAATTGTCAAGATCTATGCAGAAGAAACGAGCCGCGCGCGCGGCTGTCGAAGAAAACTGGCTCTAGAACGGGCTGCGCAGGTCTATGCCTTAAGGTAGCGCCAGATTTTAAATTTTCGTAGAATTCTGCATATTTTGATAGAAGGCAAAACATTGAAATGAATAGGCTGCAGCCAATGATATAGAAGGGGAATTTCTGACTCAGAGTCAATCTCTGCCTTCGTTTGTGCACTAATGTATCAGTCAAATCCAACAAATTCCCGGGGGCGGGAATAAAAAACACGTGAAAATGCCCGGCAGTAGGGCAAAATATCAGTAGCAAATCCCCCACCCCGGGGACAGCTGGACTGTTTCGCTAAGAAGAGCAGATTATCCAATTACCTGAAAATATAAAAGAGAATACTTTCTTCGATCGGCCAAGTATATCGCCCAAGTATTTCGCCTGCGTTGCAGGCTGAAATAAAATGTTGATTACTTCTGATAAACTTCGATAAATGTTGATTATTTTCTTGATAAACCTCGATCAGAACTTCAAAACATACAGATTACAAAAACAGCACATTGCGCCATCATTACGTCATGCATAATTTCTACGTCATGCATAATTTATCGCGATAATGTCAATTATTTTCTATACACTCCCACCTTGATTGACCAAGGTCAATCAACTGTCCATTGTCATTAATCAATAAATGTCAACACAATGTCTCGTAGCTTAATTAACAGATCAATGTTTACAATCAAGTATTAAAGTTTTGTATTGCATTAGGCACATTGTCTCGAACGAACTTTCTCTGTGGAACAGTCTCTGGGTTTTTCGTAGGAATTTCTATTGGATACAATCGTTGAATCGGTCTTTGTAGTTACTGCACTCGACCTCCAGACGATGTTCTAATAGTTGCTGCACGTACATTCCTGTCTCGACCACGCATTAAATCATCAACTCTACCGACTTTCCATAGCTGTCGAGGAATTTTATCTTCATGAACCACAACAATGTCTCCCTGGCTGATCGAATCACCTGCTGAACCATTCTTTACTTTGTGCTGTTCTCGTAGTTCCGTCAAATATTCCTTACGCCAGCGTTCCCAGAAATGATTTAATACTCGAGTCAGGAACCTCTCTCTCCTTCTTGCATCATCAACTAGGTTGTCGTTGGTTTTCTTCTCCTGCGTTATTGGATTACTTAACAATCGTCGACCAACACACATGGTTGAAGGCGTGAGTGGTTCGCTCATTTCTTCGTGCACGTACGTGAGTGGACGTGAATTCAGAATTCCTTCCACTTGAATTAAAACAGTCTCGAATTCTTCAAAGGAAACACGAGCATTGCCGAGAGTCTTTTTCAAACATCGTTTGACACAGCGCACCAAGCGTTCAAAAAATCCACCCCACCATGGGGCACGAGCGACATTAAATTTCCAGGTGATACCATACTGCTGTACAAATTTCTTTACAGTAGAATTCTTGAAAGTCTTCCCATTGTCCGATACAAGGAAGCTAGGTACTCCGCGTCGTCCTATGAAACGCTGTAGACTTCGAACGAAAGCTTGCGCAGAAAGATCAGGAGTTAGTTCCAAATGAATGCCGCGTGTAGAGGCACATGTAAATAAGGCGATGTAAGCCTTGTACGTCGTCTTAGCTCGAGTATAAACATTCTTTACGTACACCGGACCTGCAAAGTCCACTCCCAACTGCGTATAAGCGAAGTCTTCGGACACTCTAAATCGAGGTAGTGGAGGTGGCAATGGTGCTCGGTAACATTTGCCTTCAATTCGTTTGCATGTAGTACATCTGGAAATTACCTTTCGAACTTCCTGTCTTCCCTTAACTACCCAATACTTGGATCGCAATTCCACCAGTATCTCGTTAACCCCATTGTGCATGACTCGGCTATGACATTTTCTAACGATCAGTGTTGTGATATGATGACCCCTTGGCAAAACTGCTGGATGACGTGTACAGTAAGGTAATCGAGTGAAATCCAGTCTTCCTTGCGATCTTAAAATTCCATCCTCATCTTCGAACAGTCGCAACGACCTTTTTCTTTGCTTGAAATTAGGCTCTGCTCGAAAGTATCTCTGGGCGTCTTTTATCCACAAAATTTCTGCTTCGGACAATTCGATTTCGTCTAGCTCCGAGGATGATGGTCGGTGTTCTTTCATTTTCCGCACACTTTTTACGAAGCGAACCACGTAGCAGGTGACACGAACGAGTTTCTCATAATCGCTGTAATTCTGACAATCGATTAACTCGCCAATAGTTGATTTCTCATCCTGAACCAAGGTTGTAGACACAGATTGTATTTCTTCAAATTCGGGCAATTGAGCTGCGAAATTATCCCCTTGAAACTTGGTATTCTTTGGCCAGCCAGACTCGTCACCTTGCAGGAAGTCCGGACCACACCACCAACTACGCATTTCTTTCAATTCCGATGCAAGTGAACCACGAGAAAGAACGTCCGCGGGATTTTGGTCGGTTGGCACATGACGCCACGATTTCGGATCAATTAACTTCCTAATTTCTACAACTCGATTTTGAATAAACAGTTTATACTCTTTTCCGTCCCTGTAATCCACCACAGGGCAATCTCTGAATCCAACCAACAGACAACGCGATCAATCTTGTATTTTCCTTCCAGTTCACGTCGAACATGTGACATTAATCTTGCAAGCACCAGCCCTGATAACAGTTCTAGCCTCGGAATTGTTTCTCCCCCTATGGGAGCGACTTTTGACTTGGATGCAACGAGTTGACACGAAACAAGCGTTCCTGTTCTGATACGAATATACACTACTCCTCCGTACGCTTTCTCCGAAGCGTCACCGAATCCGTGTAATTCTACTGATCTGATTTCCTTTCGATCAATCTGAGGGCTATAGCATCGATTCAAATCGACTGTCGAGGTTTCTTTCATATTAGTCAACGCGGATTTCCACGATTTCGCTGTCTCATCTTCGAGAACATCATCCCAGGTAATGTTCTTGTCCTTGCAAATGGCTTGAAACAGTATTTTAAGTACGGTCGTAATGGGGGACAAAAGTCCAAGAGGGTCGTACACCTTAGCGATTGAACTTAACACAATTCGTTTTGTAACTGATTCTTCTGTCAGATACATAGTCAGTCCGTCAAAACTGAATACCAACTTGTCGCTCTTTGTATTCCAGGTTATGCCGAGAACCTTTGGGAACTCTTCCTCAGGATTCGCTTGTGGTAAACCTGTCTTCGAGTAGCTCTGATCTTCTTCCCAATCCTCGCATGTCTTGGTCGCATCAGACCCTTCACTGCTGGCAATCTTCTTCCCCAATACGTCGCTGTTCGTTTGCCATTTACGCATATTAAAACCTCCGTCCTTAAATCTTTTCTTCAACTTGTCGTACAATGAATAAGCCTCGGATACACTTGAGGCTGATGATGCGAAATCATCGACATACAACGATTTGAGCACTTCTTCAACAAAATCAGGATCTATATCCTTGTAGGAATTTACGTGGTGACTGATTGTTCCGTTTAACAGAAAAGGGCTCGAGTTAATCCCAAAGACAACTCTTGTGAATCTTCTGATAACAATTTCTGGATTGTCCTTTGTTATGTCGTCTATCCAAAGAAACCGTAGAAAATCTCGATCATCTGGTGCAATTGAGACATTTAAGAATGCCTTTTCAATATCGCTTGTGATGCCAATGCTCTGCAGGCGAAATCTCAATAAAATATCAAAGATTAATGGAGTGAGAGATGGCCCTGCATACAAACAGTCATTTAAACTTGGACCGTCCTTCTTTGCAGACGCATCGTACACGACACGAAGCTTACTTGTCTTCTTATCCGCACGTAGAACCGCTCGGTGAGGCAGGTAGTGAATCCTTCTTGGTGAATCTTTCTTAGTGAATCTTTCTTCATTAGATACTGGTTCAATAATGTTGACTTGAAGTTGTTCCTGAATGACTTGATCATACTGTCTTAACAATTCTGGACTTGACTTAAGACGTCGCACAAGACTTTCCAATCTTGTCTTACTCAACTGATAGTTGTCTGGCAGTGGTGGATGGGTTTCCTTAAAGGGCAGTCTGACTTCATATCTTTCACCATCAAATGTGATATCGTTTAAGAATTTGTCATAAACAGCTGGCTCATTCGACTTTATTCCAAGAGATTCTAAGTCCCAGAATGTTTTGATATCTTGTTCAAGTGTGTTCTCTTGAACAACTTCAGATACTACCCTTAGAACATGGGTCTCACTAAGATTCACAGTCGACTCATTTGTACAGCTTTCACCTTGAACAGGACCTGATAGAACATAACCCAATTTGGTACTCAATGCAACTGGACCCGAACCAGAATCACTACGAACAACTTCCCCAGAGACTAACGACCAATAATAATCAGCACCAATTAATAAATCGATATTCAGATCTGATGAGTGGGTTATGTCATCTGCCAACTTCAATGATTGTAAATGACTGTACTGATGTTGATGCAAATTAATGGATTGGTTACTAATGGGTGAACAGATGGTGGGCACAACGTAGGCAGTAACATAAACTCTTTCCCTACTTGGAGTCTTGATCGCTAGTTGGACAATGTCACACTTCCTCAGTTGGGCATGCGACTCGCCAAAGGTTTTTATCAACAAGGTATCACTACCACTCGAAGGGAGGCCTAGGGATTTCTGGAGTCTTTCTGTCACATAACTCCGCTGGCTACAGCTATCAAAAATCATTCTAATATTCTGTGTGCTACCAGGTGTTTCCACATGTGACACTTGAGCTCTAGCAGTTTGTAAGAGCACATTATTTTTTGTACTAACAAACATACTGGTTGATGGTGTTCCGATGGCTTCAGAATCAAATTGTGGTGTAACAACTGAGTTTGGTGGGTGGAGGGTACTTGCGGGACAAACTGGATTACCTGGGGAGTATGGAAATTGAGGTGCATGCATGTTTGTTGCTGGATAGGTTGGTACAAATGGGTTGCTGGATGATATATTTGTCTGTTGTGGTGTAAATGGAAATGCAGAGGCATTTGGTACATGTGGGGTATTGGAATGACAAGGTGGGCCAACTGGGTAGTATGGGGGTTGATGTACAAGCATGTTTGTTGATGGACATAAGGGTACAAATGGAGGATTTCTTTGTTGTGGTATATTTGGGCTAATTGATTGTGGGGTGTAGGTCTTAGGCTTACTACGGGTTTCACATATGGATGTATGATGATTATTACCACAGTTATAACAGGGTTTTCCCGATTTGCAATCTCTAACTAAGTGGCCAGTTTTAAGACATTTGAAGCACTTACCCCGTCGACGCAGAATCTGCTTCCTAGCAGAGATATCGGTCACAATCGTACAGTTAGATGATGGATGGTTCCCATTACAAAATGTACACCATGGCCCTTTCCCTTGATTGAACACTCTTGTTCTCTGTTAGCAAGGCAGCTGTAGATGATTGATAACGATTGATATATTTCCCTTTGTCTCTTTGACTGAAATGTTGTTCTTTCCGCTGACCAGTACCACTGACAAGGGTACATTTCTCTCGCAGTTGCAATTCTGTATTAAATATCTTGAGAAGTGGTTCTAATTTCCACTCACCAGATGGCAAATCCCTCGTAATAATAATCCTCAATTCTTCTGGAATCTTTGACATAACAACTGGAGCAAGAAATGAACCATATGTATCTGGAGAAACACCAACATTTCGTAGACTTCGAACATGCGATTCCAACTTGTCATAAATATTTCTCAGTTTCTTCACCTCACCCATTGATGTAGCTTCGGGCAATTTCAACAAGGAATCCATTTGACTTGAAATAACAACTTGCTTATTCCCATATCTTTCTTTTAGTAATTTGATAGCTTCACAATAATTTTCCTTTGTAAGCGAAAATCCACTGATTGTTTCTGCTGCAGAACCATGTAATAATGATTTCAAGTAATTGAATTTGTCCACATCACTTAATGACGAGTTTGACCCAACTGCAGAATCGAACGAATCCCAAAATGCCTGCCAGTCAACAGGATTACCCAAGAATTTATTCAGAGACAACTTAGGTAATTTAGCCTTGATAGGTGCAGTACTTGGTGTAAGAACTGGTTGATGTGGACTCACTTGAACTTTTGCACTTTCCGTCAATACAATATCAATTTGAACGAGGCATTCGTCGACTGTGGCATTAAACTCTGAGCTATCAATAATTTCCTTCTCGATATTATCTTTCGCGTTCAAAAGATCGACAATTTCACCATTTATACTTTCCAAGAGAGCAATTTTACCTTCTAAAATTCGTTTATTTACTTGTAGCTTCCGACAGATATCTTCAGTAATTTCACCAGCAATCAACTCACGGGATTTTGTCATAACGCTTTCTACAAATGTACGATGGCCTTGACGTGCCTTGATTTTCTTCTTGACATCCGCCATACTTGATATATTTCAACGAGATTCAATACAAATATTTCGATAAAATTCCAACTTTAAACACTTGAATTTGCTCTAAATTAGACTCAATACTTCCCGGGAGTCGGCACCATGAAATAAAATGTTGATTACTTCTGATAAACTTCGATAAATGTTGATTATTTTCTTGATAAACCTCGATCAGAACTTCAAAACATACAGATTACAAAAACAGCACATTGCGCCATCATTACGTCATGCATAATTTCTACGTCATGCATAATTTATCGCGATAATGTCAATTATTATACATTTAATATGTATTCTCGTTTCTAATTGGTCAGAAAGCACCGGCTAATTTTCAGTATTCGGCATTTATTACATATTTTTCGCCGATGACGTCATCAGCGTCCAATAATTGTTTTTTTGGATCGAACTTGCATCCAAAAAAAAAATTATTGGACGCTCTCGTGCCCAAACCCTTGCGCGGCCAAAAGCTTGAACCTATAAGCGAGCGAAAAAAACAAACAAACAATGGCCTAGTACAGCAGATTTGCTTCGCTGAATGAAATGAACTCTCCAAATTATTGGCAGATAAGGATAGTGAAAGCACGAAAAAAGCCACAAAGGGGTAAATAGAAGTAGAAATAGAATATTTAGCTGACCTTTGACTTTGTGCAAGGTATTGATATTCAAATTGTACTTTTCCTACCTCATGAACAGGAAGCGTTTTATACGTTTCTCATGTCTTTAAATGTATAATAAAACAATTATTGGATTCGGTTTTCGCATGATATCAAGAATTATTCAGACCTCGGTCCATGTTATCCGCCTCAGCTTCGCTTCGGCAGATAACATTGACCTCGGTCTGAATAATTCTTGATATCATGCTCAGCCTCATCCAATAATTGCTTATTATTTTCTACACAGGCTACCAAGCATTGTGCGTCATACTCTAGCGCGTTTTCGTCATGCTCTAGCGCAATTATTTTTAAAGTTTGGCCTGGTTCGAATTTTAGCGTTTTATATTTGACAACTTGACAGGTTTTATACATCATGGTATTTTGGGCACGTATAAAGTAATCCAAAGAATTTCAAATGCCCCGCCCCCGGGCAAAGGTTTGAGTTCAAATGCCCAAACCCCGGGACGTTCTTTATAGGAAAATGCCCTGGGGTAGCCCGGGGGGATGGGCACGCTTGGATTTGACTGATGCATAAATAAGCAAGTGAGTTTGTGGATAGCCCGCGTGCAGGCCCAAGGGAACTGATAGTAGGCCTGCAAGCAAGGCCCGGTAAAGGCCCGGTATTTTGTAAAACGCCCCTTTTCATAACACGCCCCATTCGCGCGTACTCGTTTGTACAGTAGTCTTTATTAATTGAGGTCTTGGAAAATTCTGTTTATTTATGAGTATCTTTCTGATTTATATAAGCGTGCAGTTTCTTGATTTACAAATTGTCAACAGAGTACAAGCGACAAGAAGGTCAAACGTATGCGTCTTAGTTAGCCATTATTGCCAATAACATCCTTTTGGAGAGTGGCATACGAGGTGTCACGCTTAGCAGACGCTTAGTTCAAGCATTCAAGACAAAGATAATTTCTCTTCACGCTGCTTTCAAACGTACTAAAGGTGGAAACCCAGTCAAATGGCTTTTAAATACCTGGCAGAACTCGTCATGCAGTGTAACTACATAGTATAATGAACTTGAAACGGATAAGCTGGATTTGTTAAGATTATTATCCTTTGCGGACTTTTTGGAGCATTTGGACGAAGGCCTAGGAGTGTAGTCACTGTACTCTTTGGCAAAACGTATAAGTTCGCTTTAATAGGTCGATTTTGCGCCATCTTGTTTACATATATTAAGTGTCATTTGCGCGTCATTCACTGTGCGCGGGGCACCGGTCACAAGTTGACTCAAATGTTCGTCGTAGTATTACGAAAGTTTGAAATGACCTGATTTTAAATATTGTTATCATCATTGTCATCAACGAATAAAATTGTTCAAAATTAATGTCGAAGTTTGCAGACCCATAATAGCCACAAGTAATCGAGTATCCATACAGTAAAGTTTTGACAAATATTGCCGCCCAGAAAAAATAATGGCTGAGAAGCAATTGCCCTTTTAAAATGGCTGCCCCCACCGCTTCATATTGCTTCCGGCGCCCCTGCTTGCACGTGCATTTGTGAGTCTATTTGGTATAACCGATCATCAATTATTCACTGTCAAATTTCTCTCTAAGCCATATTTTTTTATTCCTACCAATCACCAAGAACTTCAAGAACCTCTCCTAATATGTCAGTAACACCACTGTCAATTTTCGGTAGTCACATCAATGTGGCCACCATTGGCAGAGCAGATACTTTATCCAGTCCTAGTGTTCAGATCTGCATGTGAGAAAAAATAACTTCGGCGGCGCCCCTTTAAATTAAACCGGTCTCTAAAATTAGTGATTGACTCACCCCCCTGTAACAATTGCGTAACTTCATCTAATGCTTCGTAATCCTTAACATGGAACACGTGATCTTTTGAAGTAGCTATTTCTAGCAGCTCACTTTCCCTAATACTGCTCGTCACTCCCATGGCAAAGATAACGACCCGCCTTTGTTTTAGCTGGCCTGCAGGAATGCCAGGTTTGACGCCCACGTTAGATTTACCATCCGTGAGCACGTAAATCACTTTCGTGGCATCGGTTCTGGCTCCCGCAGCACTGTTGAATAGCAGATTGTTTTTGACGAATTGAAGGGCAGAACCAGTGGCCGTGGTACCACCTGTGTACCTGTGGAGTAAACAATCATTCTTTGAAACTTTACCCACTTTATTATTTTTTATTATATAAAGTATAGTGCTTTATGGAGTTTTCGAGCACTGATAAAAGTGATAATCTCACATGTGAAAATTATCGCTTTTCAATTATCGCTTTTCTGTAAAAGTTATCGCTTTTCAAAGACTGTCCTTTATATAATAAACAGAAAAATACATGGATGCTTGGAAATACAAAGAGGTGTTTCCGCGCGCACCCATGTATTATTCAGTCTCTATATAATCTCTAGGATGGTTCAACTGTGCACCCCTTACCTAATACCTTGAATGCCTTTTCGTAAACATTCCTTATTGATATATTTATTAAAGTTGAACTCCAACTTCACGGTAGTGGAATATGTAATGACAGCCACTCGAGTCTTGGTGGGAAAAATTGGGAAATATTCAATCAAATTTTCAACAAATTTTTTTTCCAAGACAAAGTTACTTGAGCCAATGCTTCCAGATTTATCCATGACAAATACTATGTCTTGTTTCGCCGAATCTATTACAAAAGATTTGAGGAATAAACTTCAAATACAGCATAAGATTTGGAATTATCAAACTCATTAATATTGCTGCAAATTGCTGTTTGTCGTTAGTCTGCAGCTTTCCTTTGTAAGATGTCAGTTTCAAATTAGTTCATCGTTTGTCATTTAGGATATTACATAATTTATATATAGCTATAATTTATATATAATGTGTAGAATTTACACTGGAAATTTCCATCTACAAAATTCTCCAGCAATTGTAAGTAACCAGTTAACCCCATTCTCAGACTATTCTTTTTATGTAAATTAAGGGCGTAATTTTCTTCGGGAGCTAAATAAATATAATTCTCGTTCAGGCCTTCCCGGCAAAGCCGTTCCCCATTTACCTTTTGCTGCCAGCTTGATAAATGATGATTTCAATTTTCGGAAGGTTATTTGAGCAGTCTCGATCGCTCGTTTTGATAATTCGCCCGCATCTGAAAAACAAAAAAAAATGGACAGCGAGGGGTGTGACAAGGGAAATCTTCCCGCTCTGGTTTCGTCTTGGTCTCATGTAAACATAGGGCATTTTTTATCAATATAAAAAGCCCATCAGCCCTCATGTTGTCCCACACTCAACCATTCCCCCCATGAGTCAAAGTCCCTTTTCCCTAAAATATAAGCAAAACATGAAATTTAGAAGGCATATCGGTTTTGACATTCTAGTAACTGAAATTTGCTTTGTGAATCTTATTAGATTTTAAACATTTATTTTCCTGTTGATTGCAGACTTGAGTTGTTGGAAGGCTCGGCTAAACAAATTAGTGACCACAGGGGCGTAAGAAGCAGCGCGGGCCCCCAACCCAATGTTTTATAAAGGTGGTGGGGGCGGAATAGCTTCCCCCCCCCAAAAAAAAAACAACTACCCAATTGAATTCGAAACTAGAAGTATTTGAAATCGTATTTATTTTTTATTTATTTATTCATTTTGTCACACACATTAAAGATATACATTTACGTAGAGATAACAATAACAATAACTAGAGAATGCTGCGACAGGAGAAGAAAACAGAAACTAAATTCCAATTGATATTCGACCCCTTAACAATTAATAGATAACGAGACGTACTAGTAGGACAATTATGCACGAACATATCACAGATTACATGGAAGTTAACATATAGGATACTGTACAACGAATTATAGAACAAGATTAACTATGGTGGTATGTAGGTAAACAGTTTGGCTTTGTAATAAGATTGTAGATGGTGCTTGAAGATCTGTAGGGAATGGGCGGCTTTGATGTTCGGTGGTAGATTGTTCCAGAGAATGACAGTGCGTGGGAAATAGGATTGTCGGAAGAATTCTTGATTATTGGAGACGATTATGTTATAGTTGTTAGGGTCGAAGTTGCGTGTGGCATAGGGGTTAGTTGCAGGTGTAAGGTAATGTTAAAGGTGACATTAATAAGGTTGTATTTGATTTTGTATAATAGTGTTAGGTCATAAAGTTCACGCCTGTGTTCAAGTGGGAGAAAGTTTAGGGATATTAGTCTGTCTCTGTAGGTAACATCACGAGAAGGGTAGTTCAGAATAAATTTCGTTGCTCTGCGTTGAACGTTCTCTATTAATTTACGTTGTTTAGCCGAGTAAGGTGACCACACACACGACGCGTACTCAAGCTTAGGTCGTACAACAGCACAATAGAGAAGCTTCCGCGTATTAGCATCCACAACGTCTCTAGCACACACCCGCTTAATTAGACCAAGGGTTTTATTGGCCTTGGTGCATATGTCTTCAATATGATTAGCCCAGGAGAGGTCTTTGGATACGATGACACCCAGGTCAGAGATGTGTGTCACACTTTCCAGGGGCTTGTCGTTCAGGTGGTATTGGAGTGAAGCAGAGGAGCAGACCTTTTTCCGAGACATGTGCATCACTTTGCACTTGGATGGGTTGAACGTCATGCCCCAGTAATTACTCCAATTATGAAGGCCTGAAAGGTCCGATTGCAACAGATGGTGAGATGCCGAGTTTATGGGCCATATACGTTAATCAAATTACTAGTATATATACGTTAATCAAATTACCCTGGGTACGAAGGTTGATATCTGCCAATCGATATTTTAATAACAACATTTCTAGCATAGGCTCACAAATCATAATGAAATAATTAATGAAAGGGCCTAATGAAAGAGGCAGAGAAGACTCTGGAAATGGAAATGCCATTTCCGATTATCCGGAGACCCAAAATTTTCCCGCTCGGGGCCTCGTGGGAGTCGGGCACCCTAAGTTTATCAGGTTAATTCCTATCCACTGAATGACCGAGTTGTGGTACAAACGTATACCATGCATGCAAATACTTAACTGAAGACTCAGTCCATCTATACAGCATGATGTAACGCTGTATATCCAAAAATCTGTTTCAGAAAATGCACGAATTGCAGTCCTAGGGGTAGAAAAATACAAATATTTTCTGAGAGAGAATACCCCAGACCGCCCTACTAATAAATACGATACCACACCAAACTTTTTGTCACCAACAACCATCTATTATCTCTCCACACTCAGTATAGTATGATCCCTTTTTGTAGATGCGGACGAATTCTTAAAAAATGCCCTGCATGTAAACAGTGACTATAATTCGTTTATTAAACTTCGACCGTAATAATATAAACAAGGACAGTCAGTACATGTCAAACAGAAAAACTGCTCAGAACACTAATACAGCGTGAACCAATTACGTTAGTGATTTGTTGCAGAACAAATACAAAACAACAAAACACGTGCAATACAACAATTATTGTCCAGCTTATCCGAAGTGTTGGGGGGCATTACAGTTCGTACTATAGACTAAATACTTAATATATCGAGTAGATAAAACTAATTTGAAAACTACACTTTCTATGAATTAATAAAATGAACTGCTATCACAGGACGAAAAGCGTGTCCTTAATCAGATTTAGCAAAGATACTAAAGATATTAAATGTGCGTTTACACCTTTAATAAGCTGACTAAAGGTGGTTAAATAAAAAGTTACATTTAATCGCATTTACTCTGAATAAAACACCTCTTTTGGAAACTGATACACTTAATTGCATTTAGTGAGGATATTAAAGCGAGTTAAAACCAACATTAAACCGCACATACTTTAATTACCTTTAATGCGCAGATTAAATGTTGACTAAAGGCAGAAATAACATTTAATCACGTTTAGTTTTATCTTAAATGAAGACAAAACCTGACACACACTGTCGATAATTTAACAGAATTAGAGCTATGCTGAATATTACAGTATAAACATGAAATGTTATACGTTATATCACCTGAAGTTAGGCGCTTATATAGACAGCGCAATTCGCTTGGACAGTTGATTCTATTGACATTTATAAATATAAAAATAAATTTTATCGCCAAAGGCAAAATACCTAAAACAGAAGCTATCATTTTTAGCTATCCAGCTTCAGATAGACAATTTCTTTATTTTGTATATGAACTACATACAATTTCTACATGTACTTACACACAGCTAGTCGTTCTACACAAGGATCTTTTGTATTTCCACTTTCTCCAATAAAATAATAGGTCATAATAGACTGCCCTCGATCGTAGCTGAGATATACGGCCTTGGTCTCGTTCTCAATCTGACTCTTTATTTTATTCGTGATACGCCTTTGTTTGGCATTTCCACACTCTTTCTCGGCACAAACTTTCATTACGTCCGTTGCATTTAAGACGTCGTTCCTCGGTGTAATTTGGTATTGAGACGTCGCTATTTTGCAGGTAGACAATTGACAATTCTGTTCAGCTTATGGAGGCACTGGGATTATAGCTTCCAGAAGGTTGCGCATTCCACTGGTAGCAAGTGCGCCACTCGCTGTGTGGGAATGCTGGTTAAAATGCGCCATTTCAACCGGCTTTGCGCAAGGTATACCACCAAAAGCTTTACAGAATTGAAGGTTGTTGTATTAAACTGTCGCTGCGAGGTTCTATGTAGGTATAATTTGAATGCTATATTCCCGCGCGCGCTATTTTAAACTTTTCCCGGTCGGATAACTGATCCCCTGTAGACTGTGTAATAAAACCTCGATCTGACGGTGTAAACATAAGCCGTTTACGATTATAGAAGAACTATGGATGGAATCAATTTGTGAATTACTCAATTATATGTTAACAAGCCCAATTTTTACTTTGCTCGTTGCTTTTTGGACGAAGGCGGATTTGATTTGTACGTGGGTGACCTCCCTAGTGTACAAAAGAAATCTGATACTACGAAAGATTCCTATTGGGAACAATAGTTCGAAGTCCAATTCCCGTTGCTTTTACAATAAACGTCTGGCCTTTATAGCTGTCACAGTCACAGTTCAATACTTGCTAGCTGTAATTTCGATATGACTGGACCAGTATGTTTTGTTGTTGTAAAATATCGTAGAGGAAAACAAGCTCCTTAGAGAAGAAAATGATAGCCAATACAAGTACAGGGAGTGAGAATGCGCTGAAGAATTTCAACGAGAAGATGGATATCATTCTCGATCTTATTCTGAGAGACGAGTCAGACACTCACACAAACGGGAAAAAATATACAGAGAGTGCCCAAGGGCAAGGCTTGCAATGTAAGTACATGTGAAACGTTTATTTATACAGTGTATATTTCCGTTTACAATTGTCAGACAATGCATCATTGCTTCGTACAGTATATGGATATAAAAAAAACTTTGTCCATTTGACCGTTATATAAATACAGTTTATTTGAAATATTGGCTCCAAATTTGAAATCATTTTGAAAATCAATGACATATACATATATCACTGTATAGTCCAGTCAGTCCAGTATTTTTTAGCTAAATACAGCACAATGGATTCACCGAATTAGTCTTTAAATTATATTATATTATATGCAACTGATTATTACCTGCTTCTTAAAATTGCCAGTATTAATTTCATACATTCGAGTGCCTCAATACGGTAATGCCTTCGTAGCCTGTTCATGCATATATAGAAGCCAGACTGTCCTGCAGACAGTACGAGATGCGGGATGAATTTCTCTTGTGTTTATATGAGAAAAATTCATCCCGCTTGCCGGGACAATTTTGTTATTCCGTTTGATATATTTTATTGTTTTGACAGTAAGTTGAAAATAGCGTGCGGCGGTATATTTGAACTTTCATCCTGGAAAACGGCCTATAGCCCGCTCGTGAGTGTTTATATGCAGAAATTTCCATCCCAGTAAGCGAGATCTCGCCTCTTTCGAGCAAGATCTCGGCAATCTGGCAGCCCGCTTGTCTATATAAATGCGCAGCAATTTTTACTATAAAAATAACTACACAGTGTGAACGAGATCTTGCTTACCGGCCTATCTTGCTTACCCTTAGGCCTAAAACTTGCGGATTTTGTATTGTAACTATGACAAGATAGATAGATCATAAGCAGTATAATGTACAACTATAGCAGCGTACTAGGATTATTTGCCAAATCAAAAGCCCTAAACCCAACTCTTTGCGTGCTTAGAGTTTAAGGTTTTCGAAGGATAACCTTTTTTCAACTAGCTGTTACCATACAATATAATGTTGCTAATATTATCGTATCTGTATTCATTTTTAGAAACTGGCAAGAACATTCAAACATCTTAATAAAGTTAACTGGAGCCAGGAAAGAGTGTGGCAGATGACCTCCGACGGTGGAGTACATGTCATCCGACAAAAGTGAGCTAGATGGACGAAGAAACTTATAGGGTGAAACAGTACAACGTGCGAAAGTTTGCCTGGGAAAGCAAAGAAGAGTCGATAAAGAATCATTAGGATTTTCTGCCTGGACTATCAAGGAGAGTCATGACTCATAATAGCAAGGGGAATCATCGAACCTGGCAAATTACCAGCCAACACGGCCAACTGTCCATGCAGATTGGGCGGGCACATATGATATGAGGTTGAAAATGGACCAGCGCAAGTCGCAGATGTTGACACAAATCCGCCACTATATAGAGGGAACGGGCTCGTTATTTACTTGAAATACATTATAAAACAGCTACCAGTTAGGACCAGCGCTAAAAATTTAAGGATTTGCATTATTCGCTTGGTTTTTCCCACTCTGTTTTAGTCTTAATTGCCTTTTACCGTTTCCAGGGCAATATAAGTGAATTTAGCTGTGTACACTGTAAATTTCAAGGAGTTCAATCAACTCAAAATGTTTTATTTTGTAACCAAAATGGTCTAAAACGACTACAGAATAACATTTTGGAGTTAATTATACAGACTCCTTGAAATTTACCAGTGTATTGTACATAAATTGGCAACAATTTTTGCCAGCTGAAAAGAATTTTCTAAAGAACGAGTCACAAACATTAGTCGCTTTTATCTTACAAAGCCAATCTCAAAACGTGATAATTTTAGGTTCCGTTTTTATACTGGGTCTTTGTCCGCACAAATCCGTTTTCGTATAATGTTTTCTATATTTCCTTGTAAACGGATAACAACTGATATCGTACGTGAGAACGCTATGCGAGAAAGGATTAGTCTGGGCTTATTATAAATGTTTCAGTTCGATATGTAATTTTAGTTTCATTCATACATGAACGGGTGTAGTATATGTATATGTTATAATAAATTTATTTTAAAGATGAACGCGTGTTGTATATTTGAGTTAATGTTGCAATTCATCATTACAAATGATTACTCTGATTTTTACATGTTCTTATAATAATTACCGAAGCATGAACCTTGAGTCAAGCAAGACCGGGTTTTTGTAGTCATGATCCATGAATAATACTGTATTGTCAGAAAGTATGACACAAATTCGAGATTTTCAATTTAAAAAGCGCAATAAAAAGCCCAACGTCACAAGCGATGCAACTTATTGCAAATATAATACTTTAATAGAGCGACTAAATAGAACTAAAATGGCACTTACACAAAGTTTAATCAATGTATGAAATGTGATTAATTCATTCTTTATATCGCTTTAAGCGGTCTTTAATCAACTGATTAAATTTACCTTTAATAACCTATAAGCAACACATTTTTGTATGATTAAAGTTGTCTTTAATCAACAATTCTACCAATATTAAAGACGACTAAATACATCTTTAACCGCATTTTATCGGTCTTTAATCGGCCGAATTAAATGCACACTTAGTATCCTTTATTGAACTTTAATCTCTGGGTATTAATGTGGTCGTTAATACACTTAATGCAACGAACTAAAGGTGTTAAAACGCACCTTTAATCTCTTTAATAAAACGCATTAAGTGCGACTAAACACGAATAAAATACACTATTAATCCTACTTTAATAGCATATTAAAGGTGCGCTTTTCGTCCTGTGTATA